TGTGAAACTTACTATTTAAGATAATGACAGAAATTTATGACTGCTTCCTTCCTCGCAGAAAGGAGCACAATTAGAAGGCTGAACAACAGGTCCTTTGTAGCAGCATGTTATGTTTTGCTTATTCTATTACGCATTGGCTGGGAGATAAGAATAACAGGACAACACCTGCCTAACCCCAGGAGGAGGAGGTGGAGGGAAAGCTGGTTATGTTCATTCTTGGGCATGTACATGCACACCGTTTACTTGCAAATTGATGTACTTAAGAAATTGTGCGTGCAATAGGCAGGAACTAGTATAAGCATTCAGAAGTCTTTTATTGCAAATCAAATTTTTAGTACAAGCCGAGTGTAATAGGAGCTTATAGTTTTTCTTTACTGTGAAGCGTGTTGAAAATATTTAAGTATTGATAATTATTTCTCTATGCTCTTTATTTATCAATCCTATTTTGTGTCAGTCTTTAAAAACCATAAAAACTAGAATGGGCAAACAAATAAAATAGCTTCCTCCCTCTGACCTATGATATCAAAAAAGCTTGCAAGGAATCAGTCAGCAGCCACCAGGAGAGAAAATGTGTGACCTGAAACTTCTCTGTTCTCTACAAAGAGACAGTTGCCGTCTGGCACCAAGTGCTCTGATAGATCCGCAATGGAGAATTCTGCCAAGGTACAGCAGCTGCTAAGCCAGTCGGGTTCTAACTACTGGTTACAGGATGGTACGGTGCCGACAGTCCCAAGAAAACGAGAAAAGATTTGCCCTCTCTTGCAGCACTTCCCCCACAACCCCTGACCCCTGGAATGACTAGCTTGACTCACCTCTGCCATTTCTTAGTGGCTCTCTTTGCTCTTTCTCATATGGGTGTGTTGGCAGCTAAGATGACCCAAATCCTAAGGGCTCAGATGATCCAAACCTGAGGGACCATGGGTTTCCTGGCAACCAAAGTGAGTTTAGGAGGGCTGAGGAAAGCCATTCTAAGAACTCACTCCCTCCAGCCTACTGCCTTCATTCTGCTCCCCACACCGCGACAGTGGTTCCCACCTTGAGGCCTTTGGACTAGAACTTCCTCAGCCAGGGATTCTCCCACTCTGTCGTTTACTTGGTTTATTTTCTCTGCAGCACATATCTTAATGATTGTTTTTCACATATAATAGATTTTTCTCCCTGACTAGAATGTTCACTCCACAAGGCCTGAGGCCTCATCAGTCTCGTCCAGCCCTGTAGGCTCAGCATCTTAAGTATTATCTGGCACACAGCACATACTTGAGAGAAATGCATTACAAGAATGAGTAAATGAATAAACAAACAATAAACAAGTGAACAAGACGATCTGGTATAGAATCAGTAGGAAAAAGGTCAAAGCAGAATCTGTCACCTATCACTAACCACACTGTTGCCATTTTCCCCCCTCAGTTTTCCCAGTGAGACTAGGAGCGATGCTACGTGTGAATAACCGAGCTGCGAAGCTGAGGTATAGAACGTATGGCTTTTCCATTCTGTGCTCTAAACAGAAAAACACTCTGAAATAATATGCAGGATATTCTTAAAATTCAAATACGGGGGGCGGGGGGGAGAGAAGAACGTATTTGGATTTCAGCAAGATAGTTCTGCCAACCTAATTATGCCCCATGACATGTAATTGTGAACTGCTGAAAGACAAATGGTGAAGCAAAGCATTTATTATAAACACACACAGAGGTAAGACTGAGGTGTTAATTTTTAAGCAACTGTCATAAACCTGGTTCCAGGATATTATTCCATTAACATTATTGCTATTATAACAAAGAACATAATGACAATGAACTCCTTTCATGTATTTCTCAATACTAGGAAATTAGGCTTGCTAGCCAATCCCTAGCTGAGACACTGAGAACATACAAGGACACAATGAAAATGGCAGAATATTAATTATAGCAACAGGAAGAAAGCTGTTGTATGCATGGGAGATGCATTTAAAATGCACTCATACCTTTGTATAGACATTATAGTACTCAATCCAAGAAATGGACACTCCACAGCTCCTGATACAGCAGATTCAGTCTTTATGAAGGCAAAAATACAATCAAACAAAAACAGAAAGCCCATGTGTACCAAAGGAGAAAAGCATAGGAATGGAACTATCAATAGAGAGTCTTAAAGGCAAACTAGTGATCTTCCTCAGACTCAGAGCAGAATGAAAGCATCTCTCCCCTGGAATAACAATTCATGAGGACTGGAAGTGGAGGAGGGGTCAATAATTCATGGCTCCTGTTATATTAAAAGGTGACAAAAATCACGAAGTGCAGTACTGATAAATGTTCTAGTTACTGCTATGTTTGAAAAGCATTCCAAATCCTAAAACATTGTGTATTTACCATCTTATAAATTGATTTGTCATTATCATATATGCAAGTTGTACAAATGTATTTTTCCTACTTTATCGAAATTACAGAATCAGGCTCAAAAACAGAATCAGAGAGAAGAGTTATAAGCTTACTCATACAAACTACAATATATAATATTGAAAATACAGTGAAATCATTATGGATGTTACCCAAAATTTTAAAAATCTCTTTAAAATGGTTAATAATAATTCTATTTTAATTCATGTGGGAATGTTTAATGTCATTTGCCAAAAAAGAATACTGAAATGGTATAAATGGTATTCATTATAATTAAGGCCTAATAACTAAAGAAGTCCAGAGGTATATAATTTATGATCTTGCATACATGTTTATAAAATATAGACTCAGGAAAGAGCCATTTAATTTACCGAGAAATCCTCTGATCTCTCGGTGTATTATAATTAACAGGACCAATGGCAAATTTCGGAATGGAGGTCTTTTTGGATGGCTCCTTCTAGCCTTGGGGTTTCTCTATCCCTGGTTAGGTAGGGTACAGAGCTGCCTTACAAGACTGTCGTTTTTGTTCCAGCTTTGCTTTACAGAACCTCATGCAAAGCCTCTACCATAAATAAAGCAGCAGGGCCCCAGCAGCCAGCTGAGTCATAAACCCCACTCAGCTGCATGTGGCTCAAGGTGTTGGGATCCCGATAGAGTCAAGCCAAGCAAGTGGAATCAATTTAAGTCAGAGCCTGGAAAAACAGAGAGCTCCCCCTTGCCCACCCCAACTGGCAGTGGAAGACACCACAGACCTCCTTCCACAGCCCAAATACAGGGGATGGTAACGAAGCCCAGGAAAACATCTAGACCTGGGCAGACTTTCTTTCCACAGTCTAAAAAGGAAAAAAAAAAAAATGATATTTGACAACCAACCACAAATTCTTAAATGTACGGTTCTCCTGTTTTTAAGCATAAAAGCAGTCTTGTTGCTGCTAAGTTATTATCACCATCACATTTTTTGACATTTGTGCCCAGTACCATTTGGCCTTAGGGTACTTAGGCTTATTACTTTAGAAATACAGAGTTAAGCATGTTTAAATCACTTTAAATATCTCAAAAAGCAGCAAACACACAGCCTACCTGCTTAGGCATGCAAACTTGAAAAGAGAAGCTTTATAGAATGGCCTGCAGGTCAACAAATTCTGGTTTTAGCAGACTGATGTCAGGAAGGAGCTATAGAAAATAAGGTCCTGTGTATGAAAAATACTCTGCCTTTGGTTCCCTCAGGCCAGAACTCGGAGATGTTAACAAACATGCCTTAAAAAACTGCAACTCTTATAAAGTGCTAAAAACTCCCAAATAAATATGGCCCCTCAAAACTGTGTACAAATGAGAAACATTTAACGAACAATCCTTTCTTCACCAATAATTCTGCTTAAATTAAGTCCAGCAGAATCTTCAAAGGGACCAAAGAAACCCCCTTGTTAAGACAAATTCTATATATAGACATTCAAGACAATTACATGATGCATGTAACCAAATATATATAATTATCCTAGTTTCTACATTCCCATTATCTTTATAAATATAGGATAAAAATCAGTCTAAATGACTTTCTCAGACCTCCTCAAGGATTAAGGCGAGTCAGCCAGCTTTTTAAAAGTATATGTATGTAGTAAAGATCAAAAGCAAATGTTCTGGTCAGTTCTTTTCTACTCATGGGTTTTACTAAGAATGTGTGCAGTTTTCAGGGAAAACACCACAAATGACAGCTGCTCAAAAGCATGGAAATTAATTGGCAGCAGGAATTTCCTTGACTAATAGGGAAAAACTTAAAGTCACATGTTTTGATGAGCTTATTTTTCCCATCCTTAGTCAAGCATATTCATTGTTAATGATTAAGAGTTTCAAATAGAAATATAACCAAGTAAAATCTTGAGTACATTCCCTTTCTTTTCTCAGTGGAACACAATTACCCATTACTAAGTGAACAATGGCATTAATGAATGGATTTTAGCTGTAAATAATATATAGGAGAGAGGTTCAACTTGCAGGTTTTGATTTTCTGTAGGAAACAAACCAAGACACAATAAGAATAATGCATTTACTGTACTAGAAAATAGCAGTAAGACGAGTGACTCCCCCACACCCCGCAGAAAGCTATCTGCTTTGAGCTTGTTTTCTAGCAGTGGGGATAGATTTACACTAATGCATCCACGGTCTCTCACTCTCAAGTCGCTGCCCTTATGACTAGTGGTCAGAATGGATGAGACAGCTGGTCAGGATTAGGTGAGCACCCTGTGGCCTCGGGACCAAGTCATGTTACTGTGCCCAGAACCTGATGCCATGACCTTGGGCTCATTAACATTATGCTCTCATCACCCAAGCTAACAGTCACTGATCAGCCGCGAGCCAACATATACCGCTTTATTCTCAATCCCAGAAACAAGATAAGCTTTTTATTTTTGAGGCAGTCTGATTTGAGCCTATGACACCCAAAGCCTCATGCATGATAAAGTACATGTGAAAACTGTCTCTTCAAGGCAGCAATGAATGTCCAAGCATGAGCAACCACAGCCTTTCCATTCTAATCAAATGACAGCTCTGACAGAGCTCAAGAAAAGCAAGAAACAGTCAAAGAATTTCCCAAGCATGTACCCCAAGTGCCACAGTGGAACAACATACCTGGCCATCCCCAGACTTGGAAAGTTGGCAGGGACGATGAGTATATCTAGCCGGGAGAACGGGTGTGTTCCCAGGACAGAATGTGCTGCTGAGAGGCAAGGCGGAATCAGCCGCAGAAGGGTCTCTTGGCAAGCACTCTCGAGGCACATCGGGGCAAAGACCCGATGAGGAATAATCTCCTGGGCGGTGGCAGAATCATTCTGGAAGCGGCAGGGGTATTCCATGTGACCACAAATGCCAATGTACCTGGGGAACACCACACAATAAATAGATGCACTTAATGGTAAACCATGTTTATTCTTCTTGCCGTGGAGGTGAGGAACTCTTGCAGATGTGGACAACTTAGGAGACAGTGGTTCAGACAGGCTCACAAGCAAAACTGTTCATTTGAATCCTTGGCTTGAATGGTTCTGTGCAGCAATGAAAAATTACAAGACAAAATATTTACTGATGTGCTTGAATCAATGGAGTAGCTTCAATCCAAGCTAAATGAAAGTAGTAAAATCTTGTCTTACGATAAAACGGGGTGAAAACCCCTAAGACTCAAAACAATAAAACAACCTCGCACCAAAATAAAAACAATTTCTGCCCTCAATAATTTACTTTCAAGTATCACCAGAGAAAAAATCTTCTATAAATACGGGACAACTCATAACTCAGAAGGGAAGAGATAGTACACCCAAATTCAAGATCCCATTCTGAAATTTCCTAGAATAACAGACTTGGACTGAGCTACAACAATGAACCAAAAGACACTTGCATGTTCAAACTTTTCAAAAGGACACAAACCATTCTACTGAAAAGTAATCTAGGCATTCCTTACAATGTGCATCAAAAGTTGTTGTTAAGGAATGGAGAGGCACTTTTGATACAATATTTTCCCCAATCCACTTTCAATACACATTTAACTGAGTCAACCTTTTAAGGAAACGGGTTAGAGCCCAGCCTGTACCATCTGACCACTGCCAATTATTCTGTCAAAGGTGGAGCTAAAGGAAAATTCCTAGAACCTGACTCACAGGCCTCAAGAGAACTTATCCATCCAAAGAAACCTATATCAAAGAGAACTTAATTTTTTCAGCTGTTAACATGTCCTTTATTCCAACACAATGGAAAATCTCTCTAAATTTAAATTACAAATTCTAACTAGAGGTGCTTATTTTCAGTGAATACTGAAAAATCTTGAAATGCTGGCATGTCCCAATATGGGCAGACTGCAAAAATAATTTCTCCCCAAATTTATGAAGTAACCTTCACCTATCCAAGGCCAACGCTCAGGGGATCCACATGGCTATGTAAATAAGCCTCACCCTCTCCCATCATGGTGCATAGAGCGTAGCTTCCAGTACCGAGAAGGTTTCATCACAGTTGAGGGTAATAAAATAGATGGAGAGTCATAAAAACTTCTGCCAGGATAAGGTGACAGGAAGAATATAATTATTGATATTGAACTCTGGTCATCATCCCTGGATTGAAAACCTTGCTCCGTGGAGACAGTGAGTAAAGGTGCTTGTTGATAAACATTTAACTAAAAAGGCTGCAACATCCACCTAATGACAAGCACTGTGCTGGCAATCAATTCAATCAAAGGTCTCACAAAGTCAAAAGGGCCATTTATTAAATTAACCACCATGATACCTTTTTCTAATGTATTTGCACAGGTATATGATGCGCTTACTAATTTAAGCTCATATACCCTCTATTGAAAAGCTTTCAGAGCATATCAAATAATGGAGAAACTGGAGGTGTGCAGGCATCTTCTGGACAAAGTTGGGACATAAGTTTAAATTCTATCTACCACAGCACAATATTGCAAAGAGGTAGTCCATTGGCTTCCCTAGAAACACACCATGGGAATTATTTCTTATAGCCAAAAACCCCAAGGTTAGAGAATAAATTGAGGTAGGCAAAGATACACCCAAAAGGCCAATTTGTTAAAGGAAAGGTGATTTAGATTCTGTCTCCACATAAATGACACTAGCTCAGGTGATGAAGGTGATTTCAGTTGTATAAATTAGAATCATTTTTTGTAATGAAAGGCTGGGAGATAATGCAGGATTTTAAGGCAATCAAACGGTGACCAAGTGAAACCAGGATGGCTCCCAATAAAAATAGAAATGGAAATGGCATCAGGGGAGCCACCTCTGGGTTCCCACACAGGGATCAGGAGACAGGCTTCAATGGCCTTCCTCAGACTGGCTAACTGTGACCCATGTCAAGAAACCCAGTAGCTGGGGCCTATTTTTCCTTATCTCTAATGTGGTCCTACAAAAATGACTGCCAGAGGAAGGAGGGAATGGATTGGAAAAGAGTATGAGGGAACTTATTGGGGTGATGGAATGTTCTCCATCTGACTTAGGGTGTATACAATCATCAAAAACCCATGAGGCTGAACAGTTAAGATCTGCACATTTTGTTCTATGTTAATTATACTTTAATTAAAAATAAACAAACAAACAAAAAAAACTAAGATGGTTTCTACAGTTTCTTCTGACACTATAATTCTATGATAACTCATGACACGAGCCCCCTTCATACAACAGCCTTGTTTCTGAAGAGCTAAGGGAATACTGTACTTTTACAAAGTCACGAATAGTCTTCCACAGATCCAGTATCAATTCAAAGGTGCTTTATCTTCCACTCAAGGCAACTTTTCATATACTTTATAACTCTTAAGACAACCTCTTTGCTTACTAAGTCTCCTCCTCTTTAGAATGAATAACCTCAATGCCTTTTCTTCTTTGTAGTGCCCATTTTCCATGGCTTTAATCATTTTTGCTGAGTTCCTCCGGACTTTGTCCAAGTTTCTGTGCCATACCTAAACTGTATGGCCCCAACAAAGGCCTCAAGACATTAAATAAACATAACACAAAGATTTCCCTGTAGCTGGAGGAGGTTATATTGCAGCAAAATTAAATTAATAAACTTGACAGTTAATCTGAGTGCCTTATAATTAATGTATTTACTAAAATGCTCACCCAGAGTGGGCTAGAGCATGTGTGAAACTGGAGCTGGAATGTTCTTCCTATAATTTCACCCATGTGAACAGTGATCAAAAAAGTTCAGTGACCAAAACTTTGGCCAAATTTCTGGAACCCAGATGAACATGAGACAAACGAAAACTTGCGGCATATAAGGCCCCTATAAAAGTTAGATTTCCATAAATTGGGCTGGTGGTCTTAGGAAGATTTGAAGGAGAAAGGGGGCTGGGAAGGCAAAAGGGACCAGATGTGAACATAACCAAAAACACTACTGTGATTGGCATTTCAGAGTACCTTTACTGGCAAACTTTGCATGGAGTCAGAGATTTAATGGATAAAAATGCAAAGCCACTTTCTGATGACCAAAGATAGCATACATGAAGCATGCAGCCAGGCAGGATTAAGCAAATGTAAGCTATTATTTTATCAGCAGTATATTCTTGATGGACAAGCACATTGATAAATGAAGGGAAAACTTAGTTATAGTCTATCAGACATGGAAGGGAGAGTGGGAGGAACCCCATTCCCCAGGCCTCACGGTTCCATCAAAGGACATACTTCCCTAGAGTGGCACCCTTTACCTCTCTCCCCAGCTCATCAGATTGGCTTGGTTGCTCTGGGCTTTCTCTTTTTGAATCTGCTTGCCCAAAGAAGGGGGACTTTGGGGCCGGCTCTCCGCCCTGCGTTAGGCAGGCTGTGTATCTATGCTGTGGGGGCTGGTAGCAGGCCAGCTGGGTTGGTAACTGGGTGGGTAAATATGACTAATTTAGAAAGCCCACTGAGAGCAGGCACCTAAGCAGTTCCTCAGGCCAGTTCTGTCGATAATAAAGTCTTTACTTTTATCTCCGTCTATTCCTCAACCGGCTCTGAACACAGGAGGACCAGAGAGGAGGAGCAGTATGTACCTCTTTATCTAAATCTCAACAGGAATTTTAGACATCTTCTCTTCCCAGAATCCCCATTTGAATTGGCCATATCCTCCTTTCAGAATAATGGATGTGAGAAAACTGAGAAGCCATTTCAGTTGCTTCAGGGCAGGAAATAGAGAGCACACAGGACGTGGCTGCTGCCCGTTCCCCCTCCCTGCATCTCTTGGGAATATGGCTAGAAGGGCAAAATAACAAATGTCTGCCTTTGCCTTCCCCTAGCCTTCCTAAGGCACACATTTTTCAACTGCACAGCTCCTCTAACAACCAATTAACCCTGAGGCTTTAGATGAAGAGCGAAGTACTTCTTCACCCTGAAAAATCTGAGAACCCAGGATAAAGTCTTCATTCTATGAATAAGGAAAATGTGGCTTTGCCCAAGGAGCCATTTCCAACCAGCTGGGGTGGCACCTTCAAGCCTCAAAGTGAGTGTTCTCAACTTCTGTTTTATTTTCCAACACAACATACTCCAGTCAATAACAGTAGCTCAATCATGGCAGTGACTCTTCAGATAGGAAGGTGGATGAGACCCCAGGTGAGGCACAGATGTCATATATTGTTTTTTGAAGACTCCAGGTAAGATTCTGAATCAGGTTGGGTGAGGTAGCTCATGCCTGTAATCCCAGCACTTTGGGAGACTGAGGGGGCAGGACTGCCTAAGGCCAGGAGTCTGAGACCAGCTTGGCCAACATGATGAGACCCCACCTCTACAATAAAAATATTTTTAAAATTAGCTAGGCATGATGGCATGTGCCTGTAGTCCCAGCTACTCAGGAGGCTGAGGCAGGAGGACTGCTTGAGCCCAGGAGTTTGAGGTTGCTGTGAGCTATAATCGCGCCACTGCACTCAAGCCTGGGTGACACAGCAGGACCTGTGTCTATAAAGGAATTCTGAATCATCTCTCTAGGGAGTCAGGCCTGGATGTGCATATGAACAAATGAACAAGTTACTCTGAGATTCAGCATATTTATCTATAAAACAGGAATAATAATCTACCCAATCTATTTTATAGGCTTATCCTCAGGACTAAATGAGATGATATTTAGATCAAGACTTTCTCTGACTTCCAACAACCAATGACTCCTGTAACAATTCAGGATAGGCTAGGATATGCTGCAGTAAAAAACAACCCCAATGTTTCAGTGATTTAACGCAAAAAAGTTAATTTCTCATTCATACCAGGTCTACTGCGGATCCAAGTGACTCTCAGAGCACCTGTCCTCCTCACTCAGAAATTCGGGCTACCTGAAATTGCAAAATGCACCCTCCTCTATGACACCAGTGCAGGTGCAGAGAGCACTAAAGGGTCTCACATGCAATTCAATGTTCCCACATGAAAGAAGCCTATGTCACTCCTGCCCGTGATTCTCCTCTTCCCTCAAGAGTACATAAGTAAAATCTGATAAGCAATAGCTTAGGGAAGATAGTCCAAAATAGGTGAATTACTGAAAAATAAGTGGAAATTACCTCCCTTCTGCCAAAAAAAGCAAAATGCAGGCGATAAGATATGCCTGTCAGAAAAGAGAGCACATGGCTTTATCTCCAAAAGATACCAACTGCCACAGTCACTGTGGTGAGAGTAAACGCAGCATGGCAAAATAAAACCAACACAGAAAGAATCTGCATTAAGATACTCTCTTGGCTGGTTTGCAAAAATGAACTAATCATCTGTACTAGTACTCTGGGCTTTCCTCACCAAAGGTACTGACTTAGTGACTTCCTGTCACTAATAGCAAAAATGATTTAATTGAGCTGGGTATAAAAGTACCAGGAATGAAGCATAATGCACACTTCTGTGCTTCTTCTGTGCACTCTCCTTCTCTCTCTTTTGGCATTCAAAGCTTGAAAGAGTTGAACGTCTGGGTAGGCTGCAACTGAATATCTAGTGGCCTATACCAGGGTTGGGGAACCTGTGGCCTTCTAGGTTTTTAAGCATAGCCTTTTGACTGAATCCAAATTTTACAGAACATGTAAAAATGTATTTTTACTAATACGTTTTTGTTTATCTTTTACATTTTTATTTTATTTTTAAAATGAATGTATTTAAAATACCAAAGAATAAAATACATTTCAAGAAAATAATCCTCCCAGATTGACTGGCACAATTAGAACATTAGTAAGCTATAAGGGCTAAATAGTCAGCTGCTACACTCATGATTTAGTTCTAACTTCCCTGGGCGCACTACCACACAAGGCTGGTTGGAGAAAGTTTATGGGGTCAACTATGCCAGTCTGTTATCAGCTTTTGACACTGGTGCACTGTGTTTCTGTTCGAGGTGGATTTGCAAGTTGCACAGCTTTACATTATTTTTTAATTCTGTCTGCTTAACAGCCCATTGTGTCAAAGAAGACCAAGAGAATGGTGAAGGAAGAAAACAGATTTTTAAATGAGGATTAGGAATTGTAGTGCTATCTTGTTTCTGCTAAAGATAAGATGATTTTCTTGCTTTGTGATACTGCAATATCAACATTAAAGAAATTCAATGCTCATCAGCATTACAGCACTCATAAAGACCACAAATATTTTAAATTGGAGAGGCACAAAAGGTTGTATTGTAGAAATTAAAACCTGAAAAGCAAAAGCAAAGATGATTCTTTCAAGCAGCAATAAGACCTGGTAATAATGCCACTGAAGCAACTTATAAAGTAGCTTATATACTTGAGAAAAAAGGGAAGCCATTCAGTGATGTAGAAATTGTGAAAGAATGCCTTGTCAAAGTTGTAGGCTGCTTAGATCCAAATAGCATTTCAAAGTACAAACAAGTGCCCTTTTTCAAGGAGAGCCATAACTGATCAGCAGCATAAATTTGCCTTCAACTTAACAAAACAACGTCATGCAATACTTTCAAAGGAAAATATATATTATTCAATCGCTTTGGATGAATCAACTGGTACTACTGACTTTAAGACAGGTTTTATACTTCTTTCAGGTCATAACAGAAGATTTTCTTTGCTATGAAGAGTTACTCGCTTTGGGCACTCTTGTGAACAGAACACAGGGAATAGATTCTTCAACTACTTTCAAGATAAAAGTTGCGAATTTACCAAATTCAGTGAGTGTATGTACAGACGGTGTACCTTCTAAGATAGGAAAATATGAAGGGTTTATTAAACAGATTAAAAATGTACTAACGGATCCAGATGCTCTCATTTCTTTTTATTGTATCTTGCATCAGCAAAATCTCTGTGCTAAAACTACTATTTTAAGTGACACTTTAAAACAAGTTATAAATATTTTTAACTATATTCTTGCAAATGCAACATGGTATCGTCAGTATTGTAATATGCTGAAGTTGAATGAGGAGGTATTCAGTGTGGATTTGCTGCATCATTCGAAAGTGCATTGGCTATCATAGGAACGGGTGTTAGCCAAAATTTTATCTCTGTGAGAACAGATAGTTAAATTTTACGAAGAACATAATCAGTAATGTGAATTATTGAAAGAAGATTTCTATAGGAATGCAGCATTTCTGTGTGATATCACGTCAAATCAAAATGACTTGAATATTTCTTTACAAGGTAAAAGTAAGTCTATATATGATATGTGGCAAAAAATCAAAGCATTTTGAAAAAAAAAAAAAGCCATCTTTTTTCAAAACACTTCTTCTTCAAAAGGAAATTTCAGATGAACATTTTCCCCAGTTAGCAAAGGTCACTGGTGAGCAGGATGATACACACAAATCATTTGAAGAATACACAGCTGCTATAGACCTACTAATTGGAGAATGTAATGAAAGGTTCACTCACTTTGAGAAACATGACATCACACTCAAATTAGCATTTTAGCCTCACCTAGTTGATATCACCAAAGCACCTAAAGAACTACAGATGGAGTTGATTGAGCTCTCAGTAGATGACATTTTAAAGTATTGTTTGATTCTATGAAAAGTCCAATTGAAATATGGAAAAGTGCAGTAGAATACCTGAACCTTCAGCAACATGCCCGAAAAATGTTTTCTTGCTTTTCAATCACTTATTGCTGCAAATCTACATTCTCCTACTTAACCCAAATCAAGACACCCTTAAGGTCACAAACGACTGACATCCATCTAGAGGATCAACTGAAATGAAACTTCCGTGCTGCAACCAAATATTCACATGCTTTCCAACAAAAAGCAGACGCAACAAAGTCATTAAAATGTTAGTTAACTTTAAAATTAACAAATAGTTTTCATTTTTTGAAATCAGTAAGTATATAGTAGTTAGATTTTTATAAAATGATGTATATTTTTAAGTATATTTAATTGAAGTTTCTTGAATACAGGCTTATTTGATTACAACTAAATTAATACAGCCTTCCAAAATGAAAAGGTTCCCCCTCACCTGGCCTATACTAATTTTTTAAAACCTCAAACTGATTTTCTCTGGTTCATACTGAAAAGAAATGAAAGAAAAGAAATCTCTACTGATGTTAATGAAGCCCTGACCCAGCAGGATTCTCTTAACCCAATAGTCTTATGACAGTTTTCTTATGCCCTGTGCTCACACAGCAGCTACTAGCACCACTGAGGGAGAATGTTCCTACGACGCATTGCTAACAGCAGTCACTAGGACCAAAACAGCAGAGTGGCCCACAAAGTAATACATCAGACAGGCAACTTCTTTTCAACAAAGTTATGTTTTTGGCTACATGAGCACTGAGATCCGAAGTTAAAAGTTATAGGAAGAGAGAAAGTGTTGAATCTGAGGATTCTGTTAATTTAACCAAATACATATAAATATTTCGCCTGATTTTACAGGATTTCACATACCTATTTTCTTCTCTCTTTCTGCATAAATAGTATGCCCACATTTCTATCTCTCAACTCTCTTTCCTTCCTAGTAGGGCTTTTCCTGCTTTGATTACTCCTATTATGGTTTAGTTTCTCAGCAGGGATGACTCACATTCCCGGTGCTAGGAAGAAACCCATCATCATACTGCTCCCTCAAGTGTTTGTTGTTCAGCAAGTTCCCAAACACAAACCTGAAGTCAGCCTCGGAAGGTGGCAAGGGTCTCTCTGCTGCCAAGTCATTTGAGGAGCATGTCTCCGGCCTCATTTCTGTCCAGCATCCCACGGCAATTGTGAAGGTGGAGGCTGGCATGGGCATAGTTACATAGTAATGCCAGCTTGTGTACCCTACAAACAGAAAGAGAAAAACTTTAGTGAGGCCAGTATATATATGGTTCCGGACCTTATCCTGTATTTCTTCTCCTGAGGCACTTACAGAGCTTGTGTGATAAGCTGGTAAGTGCCAACTCTTGAGGGTGGATCACATTAACTGAAGGGGCATTATTCCAGGATGTAGGGAAAGCATAAGAGGGATGATGGTTTCAAGGCAGCCAAGGAGGTTTGGGTCTCTTCCAGGGATCAGTTTGAAGCCCTTCAAGTGAAGCTATAAATAAAGGGTGGTGGTTGAGGTGGTCACTCACAGCTGCAAACACAGAAGGGCACAGGCTGTATGCTCCTATAGAGATAAGAATATGTCTTACTATCTTTATTGCCTACCACAGTATTTGGCATTAAAAAAGATGCTTGATTTATATCTGTCAAATGAACGAATGACAAAGGAATGGTCACTTTTGTGCTGTAACTACTTTGTCTAATTTTATTCAAGTCAATCTAAAATTGACATAGTAGAAAATACATGAGGCCAGAGAAGAGAGACAGCTGGGTTTTAGTATCAACTCAGAAACTAATTAGCTGAGAAGTTCAGGCCTGACTCCCCCATCATTTTTATCTGTTAAGCTGGTCTTCCACTCCTCTTTGAGCAGATGAAAAACAGGTGTAAAGGTTCACTGGAGCTGCAGACTCCCAACTGGTTTGGAACAGGGATGGGATTACACCTGGGGCTCCCCACCAGGCGAGGGGGTACTCTCTACTTAGTCCAAACTTTAGAGAAGGCTTTTATCAACGGAAGGAATGATTTATAACTTATAACACTATACTTCCCCCATTTTTAAGATAGGAAAATAATCTTAGTGTTTCTGAAATCTGAATGTGTCATACAATCTGATTTAACATAGTATCTTTTTCTGAGCATGTGCTATAAATTGATGGTAGGTCTTAAGGGGAATTGATATCATCTTATATTAAGGAACACATTTCTCCACTCTTCATGTTCCCATGGGGAGGAACTTCCATTAGAGTAACACCTTTTTTTTTTGGTCCCCTTACAAACTCCTTTGTAGAAGCTATTTTTCTCTTTCTTACTTTAAATTTTAGAGGGTTAAACACCCATAAAGTGACCTGTGGTTGTCAAATTTGGTCAGTGAGTGGATAAGATGTCAAATTCAGGGTCAAAATATTAACATGTCCACACTGGCCAGCAGATCTAACATGACATTTTTCAAAGTGCTTTACCAGTAAAAATCAATAACAGATGTTAGATTTTGATCCCCATATACTTGGCTCCTTTATCAATCTCTCCACTGATTCTGAACTCAGAAAGGTAAGAAAGCAAAATATAAATATGATTTCTGGTGAAATTCAAGTTTGGAAGTCATTAGAGGAGACACTTGAAGGAGACATACAGAAGGGCATGCTTAGAACTGCTGGAAATCCACAACAGAGGCAGCCATTCTCTCAAGTTTGCTTAGAAGTTTCATCCTGCTTTTGGAACCAAAACGCCCATTCTTGAGATCCCTCTCTTTGTAGCTGACTAAGAAGTTGAAGGCATGCTCCTCTTTAAAGAGACAATCAAATCCAGTGATGCTGGAGCCCATCCAGTGATTGCTTCTACTGGGCTTGAAGAGAAAACCACAGCCTTACGAGAATCACTGCTCTGATCCCAAGCCAGTAAGAAGCGGGTAGGGATAGTCACAGGACTCCCAATGAAAGCATGACATGGATCTGGCATGACAAGCTATTCCATGCCCACCTCCCTAATTTTTCCACTTTCCCATAACTACTTCATTCTCTGCAATCGGATGCCTCCTGTGACTGCTCCATGAAAAACGTCAGTGTGTAGTGGACAACATAATGAGAGCTAGAGCAGGTGGGAGGGAGGGTGGAGGTGGAAGGAGAGGAGCGGGGCTGTGGGTGAGGAACTAAATGTTTTGAAAGGCCGTGGGTTAAAAAAAAACAAAAAAACCCCTCAAATAACCAAATTTTCTTATTGAACCCCTTGGGGGTTCAGTAAATAAGCAGCAATGATAAGGCTTTCAGATAAAAATGGGAGTTTGAATGAATCAGGGCACCTCTACTTCCTCCCAAAACCCCACTAAAGGACAGCAAAAGGATTTTTTTAAGGCATAAACCAACAAGAACAGGAAGAATGAAACAAGAATCAACAGCGACAAAATAATATTGGGAGCTAGAATGCAGATGGGAGAGTGGCAAATGATGTAAAACAACTAAATTAGCAGTTGGGAAAGATAAGACCCACCTCATTTTATCCCCTAGAAGCCCCAAAAGGCTCTGAGGTAGAGGAAGTGCTAAATTAAGCAGGCCTGGTTGAAGCTCTGTCTAAGAAGGGTTCAGATGTACGACCGCCTCCCCCACTACGCACACGTGGGCCCACCCTGCCCCCCACATTCCAGCTAATAACTGGAGGTTTATTTTCTAGAGAGTAAGAGAGGACCTCTGGACTAGGGGGTAGGGATGGGGGAAGGAATGGCATAGTTGAAGGCAGATGAAGGGATTAGATGAACATATGCACAGAGGATGCTGAGATCACCAGGCATTTTCTCTTATTTGGTTCCCAGAAGGCTGGCAGCCACACTTTCACCCTCCCCCCAGGAGACTGAAGGAAGCAGACCAGCCAAGAGACAATGCTTAAGGACACTAGAGGTTTTCTGTGATCAGCCTATGGTGAAGCTCATGGTTGATAAGCCTTCTGTATACACTCAGAGCTTCTGATCAGTATTTTAGCTTCCTACTCCTAAATGCATGTAGACAAACCAAGGACCTCCAGCCATTTTTAGGAAGCCTCTAATGCAAAACCAGGAGACCAAAATAAATAGAAACAAGCAACTTGGATGGTAGTAATCACACAGGAAGAAAAAACTTCAAAAAATATAAAACATACAAATGCTGAGAATTAAAAGAATTTATTGTAGCCCTGAAACAAGTATAGTATAGTATAGTACAAAAAAACAGTATAGTACAAAAAAAAAAGAGAACTCATAAGGAAGGAAAATTAAAAACATGATAGAAAAAAAGAAAAACTCAATAAAAGGGATATGATGAAATATAAAACTGAAGAAATTTCCCAGAAAGTAGAGCATTAAAGAAAAAAAAAGATGATGAAAAATAGAATTACAATTCAGGAGGTTCAAGGTCCAAGCAAAAGATAGAAGCTCCAGAAAAAGAAGACAGAGAAAACAGAAGGGAGGAAGTCATCAGTCAAAAAAATTAGAGAAAACTGCCCTAAACTGAAAGGGGCATGAGTTTTCAGATTGAAGGACAGAAAATACCCAGGATACTGGATACAAATTGACCTAGTAAACTAATCAATCAATTAAAGTAATCTTAACAGAAAGAAAACAATATTTTTGGTTCTGAGATCCTTACTAAAATGATATAAAATATAATTCAGAAGGAAGAAAAAATTTAGAGAGAAAAAGTAGTCACCGCCCTATTAAATCCTTTTAAGAATGAAACACTATGCACAACAGCCTGTCTCCCTACCTCCTGTGCTGAATTTTTGACCTGAGTTTTTGCTGCCTGTTTGGTTCTTGTACCATCCGTCTAGACCATGGGCAAGATGAGACTTGTGGAAACAGCAGGAACTGAAACTACTTCCAAGAGAAAACACTGCTAATGGAGTAAGAGGTATTTGTTAGATCCCTGCACAAGGTCACCCAGAACCCTCAGAGTGCCTAATCACATCATGTCTGAGCACCTTTATCAGAATGTCAGTCTCTAGGTTAAGTGGGCAGGACACTGTAAGCCACAAAGGGATATGGCAGGGCAGAGAAATGGAGATTGGCACTAAGAAAGTCAGAGCCTTAAATGACCCAGAGTTTGGGAGTGAGATGGCAGTAGTGATAACAAAACCTGAATTGAGTCCAACAAAAATATTTTAGAACTGTCATTGTTTCCTTGCAGCCTTCTCTGAAGTTAAATAATGGAAAGAAAATGATTTTTTTGAAAACGTATTGAAAATATCACCCAAACCCATATTTTAAATGCTCAAGATGATTTCCTCCTATACAGCCCACAAGATTTTTTATTTTCTTAGATTCCTAAAGTTCCCCTATTTAGTGAAGCTCATTCAAAATAAACTTTCATATTTCAAACTTTTAAGAGCAAAAAAGTTTCTTGGCTACCAAGTGACAGTCAAATAGGGGCAGATCAACTGGCTGGGCCAAATAGGAACCAGCCAGGAACCCAATTCCCAAAGACCCTGATCAAATTCTTCTCAAAAGCATCTCACTAGTGTCTGGCCCTGGGCTTCCTGCCCTGATCCTGGGTGAATGCTGGAGCCAGCACTGAGATCACTGAACACTTCCAGTGCTCTGGGGAAAGTTTTTATTCATTGTTATGAGGACATTTCGAGTATCCTCATTTAGTAGAAAAGTCTCTTTTGAGTTGTCTGTTCATGGATTATACCAATGAGCCCAATCCTGCATAAAGACTGCCCACTGCCACAGGGAACACCTGACCTCATCTTCTAATCAGCCTGCAAAAACTGCAAATAACAAGGTGGAAACACTGCCACCAGAAAGCAAAGCATACATTCCCAAGACAAAGAAAAATAATTTCTAGATCGTCCATTGCTTGGGATATGCCTACCTTGCAAAGAGAACCGATGAGAGTTTATTTCTCTTGGATATGTCCATTGATTGAGGTCCAGCTCTGGAATCTGACAGATGGGGTTCAATTCCCTGTTCCACATTTACCAGTTTGGGCACATTATTTAATCTCTCTATGCATCAACTTCCTCTTGTATAACAATGGAATAATCGTTGTATCTACCTCATAGGATTTTGTGAGGGTTAAATTAGATAATATATATAGTGATATATATAGTGATCAACTAGACATAATAATTGGCATATAGTAAGTGTTCAAGAAATGTTAACTGATATCCTTGTCATTATCGCAGTTGTTGTCATAGTCATCATCTGCAAGCTCTCATCTTTATAGCTGTCTCCCTCTGTTCAGGCTGACTTTCTGAAGGTAGAAGTGAAGAA